GCCAGAAGAGGGTGTCAGAGACCTTGGAACCGGAGTTCTAGCTAATTGTTAGCTGTCAATCAAACCCAGGTCCTCTGGAAGAGCAGCCAGTGCTCTTAACCACCAAGCCATTATGCCAACCCTGCATTTCCATTTTTGTGTTCCATTCCCTTTAGTATGTGCAGGTTTTATCTCTCTCCAGAAAAACAGTTTTGTTTTGTTTATGCTGAGAATGTAACTGAAGCACTTGTGTATGCTAGGCAAAAAATCTACCTCTGAGAAACAGCCCCATCTTGTAAGTTAACTCCCTTCTTTGCCTCTTTTTGTTTGTTTGTTTGTTTTTGTTTTTGTTTTTTGTTTTTTTGAGACAGTGTTTCTCTGTATAGCCCTGGCTGTCCTGGAAATCACTCTGTAGACTAGGCTGGCCTCGAACTCAGAAATCCGCCTGCCTCTGCCTCCCAAATGCTGGGATTAAAGGCGTGTACCATCACTGCCCGACTCCTTCTTTGCCTCTTGATGACCAAATATTAACCTGCCTCTTAGTTAAGGCCTTGCTTCTTGTTTCCTTTCTCTCCTCCTCTTCAAAATGTTATCTTATTGTTACTTCTCTACTATTGACATATTCTCTCTTTAAGTCATGACATTAGATTACATTTAACATACTAATCAGCTACAATTTTAATTTCATGTAACTCTACTTACTTAGTCCTGTTACTGTTTCCTGAGCTATTAGAGTCCTATTCTTCATAAATCTTGAATCATTTCCCTCTGTATTTTACTATAGAAGCTTCAGGATTTTGTTTGATTTTTTGTTTTTAATGAGTTTTGTGCCAATTGTATTAGTTGAGAAATAAAGATAAGAGTTTCTGTTTTTTACACAATACTGGAAAACAGGATGCAGTTGTTAAATTCAGAAACCACGTGTGCTCTATGGGCTATCTTATGCAGATGATAAAATCTCAACCTGGGGCTGGAGAGATGGCTAGTGCTTTAGAGTACTGGCTGCTTTTATATAGGAACAGGGTTCGATTCCTGCTTCACACCTGTCTGTAACTCCTGCTCCAGGACATCTGACAGCTTCACACAGGCATGCATATATCAATGCACATCAAATAAAAATCCTAAATTGAAAGAATTTCTCAGTTTATAAATGGATGTGGATTTACATTTATATGTAATAAGGCAATATATGTATATTTGCCCTTCCAAAGAAATTAAAGATTATAAAATTATTAGGTAAGAACCTTTCCTCTATGTAACCCTAAATGTGATAAATACTAGACTATGAGTATAAGTCAGTGGTGAAAGAGTGATTGACTAGCATATATACAAGCTCCTGGGTTAAACCTTAGCACTGCAAAAGAAGGCACAAGGTGATAGACAAGGAAAAGGCAACATGCTTTGATGGCTGTATATTGAGACAATAAACTGGAAGAAAGCTTTGGTGTGATATTCAGTATTGGTTGAGTGACTTTGGTTAAGTCCCATGGCTTCTCTGAATGCCCATTTCCTTGCCTGTAGTGCCTATGTTGCAGAATTGTTTAGACAAATACATGAACTGATTGATTGTTTTATGAGCTATAAAATGTTTTGACCTCCAAGTTTCTTCATGCATTCTGCTCCAGTTCTGCAAATTCCAATGTTGCATTGTAATTTGTCTTTGCCTGACTCTATCACCAGTATCTCTTTTTCAAAGCAAAATTTTTTGGTTTCTCTCTCTTTGAACATCAGAGGCTAACATGTAAGTACTCAGCAGATGCTTGATGAATATGTAAATAAATGTTTCATGTGGAAAATGGACTCAGGTGACCCAAGTTCAACTCCAGTTTTTTTGTTTCTCATGCTATTACAAAGTCTAGAAATAATAGGTTGACATGCAAAGAAATTTTCAGAGTGAAAAGCATGACATTGCAGAACAGTTCTTGATTTGTTAAACTTCCACATTAACATTCTGGGACATACTTCCAAAGGAAAATTGTTGGGATGGGTTAATTGAGTTTATGTCTAAGAAGGAAGATTATGACTTGTCAAGTGAGAAGCTGAAATTAATCTCAAAAATAGGAAATTTGGCAAAGGAATATTATGGTTAAACAAATTCATTCTAACAGAGATATTAATATTGTTGTGAGGAATGTGGTTAAATCATCAAAAATCAAGCTTCCTTTAAGGTACAAAACATTTTAAAGACATGAGGCAGCGGGGTTTTGTTATTGTTTGAAAGAATTGAAGCTTTATTTACAGAAGAATATTTAAACCTACTGAAAAGGGTGTTGCTAGAAAAGACCAAAAAGACAAAAGGGGGAAGTGAAGTATAAATAAAGCACAAATAGTGGAAATTAGTTTAAAAGTGACCAAATGACTTATAATCAAAGAAGAAAAGTATCCAGCCTCTGCATTAGGCATCAAAAAGAGACAGAAAGTATGAAAGCACCATCAGAACCCTGGTTTTGGAATGTGCCTTGCAGGAACTGACAATGAAATAATTATTCTTGAAAAGTAGAACCAGTGTCGAACCTGGTGTGTCTCATGGGGTGGCTACTTCCCCTTTCTCTCATGGTAGATGTGATTTGGGGAGAGTTCTGGGATAGATACCTTATAATAGAGATGTTTTTCAAAGGTTGATATTCATTGTAAACAAAGTCCATAGAAAGAGTCTGTTAGGAGACTGGTGTGGTAGGGCATGACTTTAATCCTAACACTCGGGAGGCAGTGGTAGGTGGATCTCTAAATTGGAGGCCAGCTTGCTCTAAAAGGCAGTTCCAGGACAAGGCTACAAAGAGAAACCCTGTCACAAACAAACAAACAAAAAAATCTGTCATGAACTTGATCAAGATGATCGTTAGAAGCAGAAATGTTTATGGATTTCTTAAAAAAGACATTATTCAGATTTGCAGCTAGGTACACTGATTACATGACTGACTGAGACAGGCACATGATTCTGCCATGTTAATGCTGTCTTTGACATCAGAATCTGTCCTTGTACCTCATATGGAGGCATTTTAATAGAGGAGTTGAATGGGGGAAGGTTGCTCCTAAAAAGCAAATCAGACTTTAAAATCCCAACTCTGTCTCTTTAAAAATAAACTGGTAATTATTGTGTGTGTAATATGTGTATCTTGTGGTGATGGTGGTGTGTGTGTGTGACGTGACACAGTACATGTATAGAGGTCACAAGGCATCTTTGAGGATTGTTTCTCTCCTACTATATGGACTTGAGAGATTGGACTCAAATCATGAAACTTTCATAGCAAATACCTTTGCCCACTGAACCATCTCACTAGTCCATACCTCTGCCCTTCTCAGTTGTCCAATTGTTATCAAAGTTCTTAGTATCTTAAAAAGATATTAATAAAGAACTCTCATCTCTCCCATAATTCTTAGCTTTTCTTGTCTGCATTACTCATCTACTTTCTCATCCTTGTTTTTGCCTCTTGTCACCTATTCTGCTGTTCTGTTGTACTGCTTTTTAAGACATTTTATTCGCTCTCTTTCTCTCTCTCAACCATTTTATTGAGGTTTTAATTCCTCCTGTCATATTTTTAACTCCCAAGAGCTCTTTTATTACCTCAAAAGTCCTTAAAATTTCTGCTTCTTGTTTTATGGTTGTAATATCTCTGCTAATTGCTCCAAGGATGCATGTGATAGATTTTTATAATCATTCTCCTAAGTTTGAAGGCTGTTCCTTCTCGAGGGAGTAGACCCTTCAGTCTTCTGCTGAGGTGGGTAAAGGGACATTATTGGCATGTGACTAGTAGCGAAGGGAATCTGTAGGTTTCTTAGCTTCTTAAACTAACTTTCATAAGTCTCTTTTTATAGAGAAGGACTTGGCCTCTCAACATTATTTGGCCTTTTTGGAGTTCTCAATATAAATTTAGTTGCCTCAAATTTCCCCTGCTGAGAGGTTGGAAGGCAGGTTTCTCAGATATATTGACGTAGTTACTGTTTTCTAGAGCTAAAATTTTTTCCAGAGTTTTTCTTTTCTTTATCGTCCACACTTTTGCAGTTATGACCTTTTATAATCCCTTTACTGGAATGTAATGTCATCGGGGTTTTGAAAAGAAGCAGATCCAGTGCATGAGTTCGACACTCTGTCTTTGGTCAGACTCTTGTTAATTAGAGCTTTCTCTCTTTCATGGCAATTCCTTTGTGCTTTAACTACCACATTAGGTACATTCTATTTTTGTCTCCTTCTTTTGCCACCTTTCCTATAGGTTAATCCCCCCACTAGGCTATATGTTAATCTTTGTAAGAAATCACATTTAATTTTAACAAATTGGAGTTTTAAATCTCTTCAGTTGAGTTTTTATTTTTATTTTTGGGCAGGGCAAACATAGATTAAAGAAAAGTGAGGAGGAACTCTTGAAAGTAGGAAGGGCCCCAAACAGGGTGAATACCTCTTTAATTCATCCTTGATTTTGATAGGATAAAGACAATTTTCCTTAACATTCAGAGACTTCCATAGGTTAGTCTCTATCTACATTTTTCAACCTGGTCTTTATGTATTCTAAAACAATCATACCCATCCCCACTCTGACACTTAATTTTATCAGTACAGTAATTTATCTGGAACAAGTAGAGACACAATGAGTATTGCCTGGTAATGTAGCTAGTACACTTAGCAGTTAATCTGCTGGTTTTGAGTACATCATGCAGCGTATTTCAGTCTAGGTTCCAAAAATATGCTGTCTGTATACATTGTTTATTATTTGGGTTCATTAATATTGTCTATTAGTATATTAATCTATGCCTTATTTAATTTCTGCTAGATTTTGGAGATGCAAAGATGAGAGGATTTGTAAATCATATTCTATAACAGATTGCTGTTACATGATCACATGTTTAAGCCTCAGTTCAAGGACCCATTTGTATATTGTGATGTAATAATATACAAATTATATTATTTGTAATATATAATACAAATACATCCCATCAAAAGAACATTCTGATATTTGCATTAAATATGTTTATGATGTTTTCCTGGAAGTAAGTTGTATGATGATATTCTCCATCCTCTCCTTCAGAATTGTCTTTACTGATATCTTCATTATGAATCTAATTCTTTGGATGGAAGGTTCATCAGCTGCTGTCTCCTTTTGTAAACTGGCAAGTCTCTTTGCATTGTGCTTTGGAGTTTCAACACCACTGACATTTTTGGGAGTGTACTTTGGGAAAAAGGAAGAGGTAAACTTTCAGAATACAGCTTTTGACTTTTGAGTGATGCCTGAAATACCTTACTGTGCATGTGTTATATAAGTACAAAAATATCACTGAAAACAACATTATAATCATTTTTTGAATTGATGGTATAAAAATAAGTAAAAGACAGTAGCATGTTAAGAGATACCGTGTAATATATTTCCCACATTATAGAGTATTTATATTTCTTTTAATCTCTGATAGACAAAATTAAAAGGGCACAGTATAAGAAAACTGACATCAACTACCTTAGAAAACAAATGTTTGTGTAGTGGGAGAAGAGAGCAAAGAGACAGTCACAAATGGGATGTTCAGTTACTGTCTGAAGTTAGCTTAATTCTACATAGAGAGGAAGAAAGGAACAGGATGCTACAAAACAGTAACCCAGGCCACTCTACAAGAGGACTGGACAAAACTAGTTTGAGATTGCAGGTAGAAAGTTTAAAAAATGATGAAAATGGAGATGGAGTTCTATAGAAAGCAGAATAAAAATATTGGCAAATTCATTGATAAATTCATCTAAAAGACAAATTCTTAGGTAAAACTGGAGAGAAGTTTTAAACATGACTACTTAATGTTAGTATAGTCACAAGTAAATCTTATCAAATAAGTCCTTTGAAATGTATTTGGAAAGGCAAATACTTAGGACTGCAGATGTAGATGAATTAATAGAGCACTTGGCTACTACGCAGGAATCCTGGGTTCAGTCCCTGGCAAAAATGGAGTTTGGTGGCACATGCCTGTTTGTAAATCACCACACCTGACTTCAAATGATAATATTTGTTTTATTAAGGAAAATATAGTCTAAAATTATTTTTATTTTACCTGTTACTTTTTATGCTTTTATATTCAAATTCCAGATTCTGAAGTGTATTGCAATTATGACTGTGAATTTATTTGCTTCATTCACTCTTATTTTTATTTTTAAACAGTTTGAGTTTCCAGTTCATACAGAAAAGGCCCCTCATGTGAGTTCCCAGAGGACTTTCTTTACAAAATCAACTATTACCATTATACTTGGTAGTCTTTTACCCTTTGGCTGTATTTTTCTGCAACTTTCTTACATTCTAAACCGTATTTGGTGAGTATTACATTGCATCTTAATAAACTCATTTATTTTAATGCCTAATAACAGTGCATATTTATAATACTTCAGTACTTGTATATAATGTTCAAAGACAAAATCAAGGAAGATGGGTAATGTGTACCAAAATAAAATTAAAATAAGATAAGAGTCAGTTCTAATGTTCAAAAAGCCTATTAGAATGAATGACTTTACTTTGTAGTAATATAAATATTTTATAGAGACTAGAAATTTTGTGTTGGTAGGATTTAACATAGGCCTTTGTTTATGCTAATTATGATCCTCGCCACTGATTTACATCCCTAACCCTCCAAGTCTTAGTTTTATTGAGTAGCTTTCTGTATTTCAAAGGTTAAATTCTGGCATAATACTTCATCTACCTTTACTTTCTTCAGGATATAGGAGTTTGACTTAGGGTAATTTCCTAGGGAATAGATTTAATTTACAACTTTTTTTTTTTTTAGATTTATTTATTTATTATATATGAATACACTGTAGCTGTCTTCAGACACACCAGAAGAGGGCATCAGATCTCATTACAGATGGTTGTGAGCCACCATGTGGTTGCTGGGATTTGAACTCAGGACCTCTGGAAGTGCAGTCAGTGCTCTTAACCACTGAGCCATCTCTCCAGCCCAATTTACAACTTTTTAACATGACTCTAATGGGATTTCTTATACATACTTAATTTAAAAAATTAATAATCAGGGTGGGGCTGGAATGATGAGTCAGCAGTTAAGAGTACTACTTCCTGCTCTTGTAGAGGACTCAAATTCAGTTTCCAGCCCCATGTCAGGCGACTCACAATTTCCTGTAACTCCAGCTCCAGTAGATATGACACAAACTTCTGTCTTCTTTAGGCACACGCACACACACACACACAGAAGGAGAGAGAGAAAATACACTTATACAGATATTGACATAAATAAAAATAATAATAATAAATCATTAAGATGGCCCAGGAGTGAGGGAATTGCTGCCAAGCCTGACCACCGGAATTTGATCCCTGGAATTTACACTGTGGAAGGAATGAATTGATTCCCACAAATTATTCTCTGACCTCTGTGCATGCGAAGTGGCATGCATATACCCACACACCAAAATGACTTAGAGAAGCTGATCTCTAACTGAACTTGTTGTGGGGTCAGGAGTATGAAAACTCTTGACTGAGAGGTAACTAGATATGGAAAAGGAGCCTTCTGATTTTTATGTTTGCATTGGCCTAACAAGGGAGGTTTTATTTCAAATCCCTCTTAGAAAATTAATATGAAGACTATTGGCTTCACCAGCTTTGAGTTTTCCTATATACTGAGCTGGAAGTGGTTCTTTTCTGGTTTTTTTCCTGTCAGCCATTTCTGATATCAGAATGCCTACTCCTTGTACCTTTTAATTTGCTCTTTTTAATCTGTCGTGCTCTGAGAATTACAAGAATGTGATGGTTATATGTGTTTGTAAAATAAGTAATTGTACTTTCTGTTTAAAAGCATGATAGCTTGAACTGGGGGTGTAGCTTGGTGGTAGAGTGCTTGCTTAGGATGTACAAGGCTCTGGGTTCTATCCCAACACTGGAAAGAAGAAAGGCCAGCTCTGTGTAATGGCAATGCCTATAATCTCTGCCGTTGCAACAATTCTTGAGGCTGAGGCAAGAAGAAATTGAGTTCTAAGTCTAGCCTGGGCTATACACAAGATCCTGCCTCCAATAATATGTATTAAGAGCTTTACTGCCTTAGCATTGTGAGAACTCTTTCATTTGTTATCTATCTCCCCTTTTTTTTTCATTTTCTCTGTTTCCCTCCCTCCCTCCCTCCCTCCCTCCCTCCCTCCCTCCCTCCCTCCCTTCTGTCCTTCCTTCCTTCCTAAGATAAGGTTTTTATGTGTAAACTATTTTGGAGATGGAAAAAGGTGATAGGAAGTAAAAAGCAGGTACTAGAGTGACAGAGTTTGAGAGTGCTTGTTGCTCCCAGTCCTGAATTTTGTTCCTGGCTCGAAGTCTGACAATTGCCTGTAAGTCTAGATACAGTGGATATATGAGCCTCTTTTGGTCTGCACACACACACACACACACACACATACACACACACACCTTTTTTTTTTTTTTTGAAAAAAAAGGTTAGCTTTAAAAAGGAAGTAAAATGCAGTAGCTGTGTTGTTTTTTATACTACTTTTGTAGCACAGTCTTTCAAACAAACCTGTCCTGGAACTAGCTCTGTAGACCAGGCTGCCTCAAACTCAAGAGATCCTCCTGTCTCTGCCTTCTAAATCCTGGGATTAAAAGTATGTGCTACCAGGCCTGGCTCAAACAAATCTTTTAAGGCCTCAAAAATCAGATTTAGTCGTGCCCATTAAGAATTATTTTTTTTTTTTTTTTTTTTTTAGCTAGTATTGTGGCAAAATTGGTTTGAAAGGAAAACAATAAAATCTTGGTACTATCAGATTGATTATGTAGTTCCATGGGAAAGTGCCTGCTTACCATTTTTAAGGGCCCAAGTTTAATTTCAGAAGTCTGTCAAAAAAAGTGTCAAAATGAGAGTAAGTTTTTTCTACTCTGATAAGGGGGTGTATATAACTTGTACATGTTTATTAATTATAGAACATTTCTCTATAACCCTGATACCTATCCTCATACCCAAATATAAATTTCAATTTATACTTAAAAATGGAGTAGTAATTTATGGTTTTCTCTGTATTCTCGAATGGCTTTAAAAATTAATCATAATTAATTTAATTGTTCTGGGGACTGGAACTAGTGCCTCATGTGTTCAAAGCAGTTGCTTCATCACTGACTTAGCCCTAGCACTCTTTTTACATTTTATTTTAGAAACAGTCACACTAAGTTACATAAACTGGGCTTGAATTTGTGATCTTCATGTTTTAGCTTTCTGAGTAGCTGAGATTACAGGCTTATACTTGGCTTCAGACGGCTTTGAGAAATTTGTAATTCTTTCCAATATAATCAGCTCAGCTTTACAATAATAAAGGTAGTCACTTAGTTCTTTTAGTTTGACCTAAATACAGCCCACATACATATTTTTAACAGACACATGTTTGAAGGATTAATTAGTAGAATTCTGTGTGCCACACAATGAAGGCATAGTTGGAGAGGTCACATGTCTTTAGAGCTTCAAAGGCAAAGACATATTTGATTATGTAATTTTCTGGTATATAATGTATCTATTGATATTTTTGACATTTACAACATTTCCTTTCTAAAAATAAAGTATATTTTTAAATGTGTGTAGAAGTATTGATGCGTCCCAAGTGAGAACTTGATTATGTAGACAGAGAAATAAACATGGGTAAATGGCTACACTTGTATCTAGAGAAGATGGAGCCCAAATCTGCAACTATGTTAGTAAGACATTGCTATCAGTACTATATGGTTGGACGGAGGTTTGGAATGAAGAGTTTGAATAAAGGCTAGCTAGCTGTGGTGGCACAGGCCTTTAATCCCAGCACTTGGGAGGCAGAGACAGCAGGCCTCTTTTTGAGGACAGCCTGGTCTACATAGTGAGTTCTAGTTTCAGGACATCCAGAGTTATATAGAGAGACCCTATCTTAGAAAGAGAAAGTGTGTGTGGGGGGTGCAAATATTAGAGAATTGTTTGATAGTCTTTTGGATAGATTTGGACTAATCTTTTAATATATAATTTTGAAAATTTTAAATCTTGTGCTTGCTTTTGGGTCTCCTCATATGTACTACCTGTTCACCTTCCTTCTCCTACTCTTCTTAATTCTTATGATTTCCTGTTCAGAAGTTACAGTTCTGCTATGCTATTTTCGACTGTGTGCTGAGGTAAAGACATAATATTAATATTCCTAAATATTCTAAACTTATATTATTGGAATTAGAGTATGTGCTCAGAAGGGTATTGAAATAAATATTAACTTCATGGTTTTTACTACTTGGAATAAGTTTTATATTATGTTTTCCTAATGATATATTTTTACTTTGATGTAGCTACTGAGTGCCACTTTGATGCAGGATTGAAAAAGAAAGTGATTTCTTTTTTAGTGGTTATGATAATTTCTGCTTGTTATTCAGTTAACACTGAAAAAAATATGACAGTGGGGGTGCTGATTTGAGTATAAAAATATGGCGGTGGGTGACTGGTTTGAGTTTAGACATGTAAAAGACCCACTATAGTGGTTTTTAAAAAATAATTAAAGGTTTCTTTACAGTTTCAGTCAGGATTGTATTTTGTGGGATTGAGGTTGTTGCTTTACAGGTCCCCTTCTCCTCTTCATTTATGTAATAGTTCTTTTTATTTCATCCTCATTTTTTTAGACCCTGATGCCATTTGAACTTGGCAGTGTAGTACAGTAGTAACTTGTTGTTGCTTTTTTTCAGTCTCCCTTTTAAAAATTATTTATTTTACTTTTATTTATTTATTTAGTGTGTGTGTGTGTGTGTGTGTGTGTGTACACTCCTTTAACTGATAGGCCATCTCTCTCTAGTCCTATATTGTTTCAGAGTTAGCATTAGGGTTAAGCTTAGATTAAATCTCAAAAATCATCATTTTATTGGAGTTAATATGATTGTCTACAGGTAACAATGAGAGGTCAATATACTTGTTGCTTTGCAGTATTATATATATATATATATATATATATATATATATATATATATACACACACACACATATATTGTACTTAGCTAGTAGTATATTCCCTGGTACATTTTATAATACAGAACAAGCGTATTGTGGGTATATTTTTCTTCTTAGAAAATATTTGGGGCATCTTAAACATTAGTTTTTAACCAGAAGAACTCATGGTACCAAATATCAGTATACATGTGGCTAGAGTTTATTATAGAAAAAAACATACATCATTGTGAGCAAAGGAAAAAGACACATTTCATATGACATGGCAAGACCAGGCTGCGTATTGACTTCAGTCATGTCCCTCGTGGATCCTGAATTTAGCCAGTGGAAAAAATATTCCATATATTATAAGGTCCATCTTACCTTTCTATAGTACTTTTCATTGTATCTGAACTAAGCCATCACTAGACACAGCACTTTTTCTAAGAATGGGTTTCATTATGATGTTTTCTTACATCTTTAATTTTTTAGATAATAATATTTCTCTCTTTCTCTTTCCTACCTGAATACCTTCCCATACACACCTCTTTGTTCTCTTTCAAATGTGTGGTTTCTTTTTTTTATTGTTTTTGTGTACACACACACACACACACACACACACTCCTAAATACAACCTGCTTACTCTGTATAATGTTATCTTCTATGTAGGTTTTCAGGGCTAATCATTTGGTATGAAATAATAAATCAGTGCATCAGTGCATTCTCCCCTAGGGTAGACTATTTGCCCCATTCTTAGTATACCTTAGTTGCCTTTGTGTAGGATTGAGGTCCCATGGGCTCCCCACCCCAATCTACTTTGACATATCTATGAAACTTCTCTTTGCAATAGAGGGAAACCACTACATCAAACCACACCAATCAAAATGCAGAATTGAGGAACCCAGTCCTAATCGTTACATCTTCAAAACACTCCTATACCTAAGTTCAGGGAACAAATATGGAAAAGGGGATGGAAAGACTGTAAGAGCCAGAGGATCAGAGAGTTTGCTATAGGATTGTATTTTCTAGTAAGATCACAAGCTACACTCATACAGTCTCACCAATATGACTGCCCACTCATGAGCTTTCCCACATCTATATAGTGTATCTAGTTATATTTATGCCATAATTCTTTTGTGTACCACCACTCCTGGAATCCTTCCTCTTCCCAACTACTTCCTTTTCACTGTTACATCTTTTCCTTGTTGGTAACACATAGAGTTTAGATAGGATTTCTTACAGGAGCATGGGTGAGTGGTTATTCATAGGAACATGAGTAAATCACCAGTGGCTATATCACTGAGGAAAATACCTTTCCCTTTCCTAGTAATCTTTTTATATACTTGGTGCATTTATATAGTTGGCAAAGGTGGGATCTTCTGATTCCTTCCCTTCTTGGATAGAATGCTAATAGTTCTAGTGTTGTAGATGTCTGGTGGTGATAATCATAGTTTCTGTGAGTTCAAGAGTGCAGTAACCATGTCATGCACAGTAGAAAGTATTGCATAACACTTTATTCCTTCCTCTGTCTGTATTTTTTTCTACTCCCTATTCTCCATGTATCCTGAGATTCAGAGATAGTTATATAGTTGCTCCATCTAGGGCTAAACAGTATAGAATCTCACTACTACGGCTGCTTGCCAACTAATACTAGATAGTGGGATCTTCTTACCGAAAACAGCATACCATTTGGTCATCAGACATAGACAAATTAAGTGGGTATTGACCTGGAACCTCTCTCTCTGTTGTCTAGTTCATGTAGTATCGAAAGAGGACACATAGGCTGCCGGAGGAGAAACTACTAAGTTTGAATTTTGGTAGCTCAGATCATATCATTTGTATAAGGCAGGTTGGAAAACTTTACTTTCTCTGAGTTAGCATTTAGGTTCAACAAATATATAAAGTGAAAAATGGGAGCTGGGAAAGTACATCAATGTCTAAAGTGTTTACTGTTGTTATTAACAGTTTTATTCAAAAAAAAAGAAAAAAAAACAGTTTTATTCAGCTATGGATACTTCATGTTATAATACCAAACAGCCAGGTGGGACATATGTCCATTGGTACAATAGTGGCAAGTCTGTTACTGTGGTAACCAATTACTTTCTGTTGGATTTGAGACACTCTGGATAGGAGGGATTTATATTTGGTATAGTAACCTTAGTCCACATTCTGTTTGGCCAGATTACAGGCCCTAGTGTGAAAGCCACTGCTGTAGTTTTCCTTAACGGGCACAAGTGCCTGTCATATTTCCTCCTGAATATTTTGTTTATTGCCACAGATCAGTGCTGCTGTCAGCTTTGCTCACAGACACTTAGTTTTTGCAGTAGATGGTGGTTACTGTAGAAACTCCAAAGTGGCCTCAGCATAACTCACATCAGTAAAGGAAGCTGCGCTGAATGCCTTCCAGGGCTGAGGCAGCCTTAAAATAGTATTCATGAATTATAACTCCATGCTTAAGATGGCACATGCCGCTTCCCATAAGTCTTCCATAAGAAGACTCAATCTCTCTTTCCTGTCTGGGCCCGAGCACTGAGCAGATCCTAGGTGGCAGCTCTGCACCCAACCTCACAAATCCCAGAGAAAGCAGGCCTCCCAGGAGCTCTAACCTGGGCAGTATCTTAGGTAAGAGACAGCAACACTCGCCCCAAACAGGGAGTAATTGGGACCCACTGAGACCCAGAAATTCACTCCTGGCCCAGAGAACTGGTTCCTTGTGTCTGTACCCGAGCACTGAGCAGATCTTGGGCCCCAGCTCTAACCCCAGTAGTAGTAACACCCACCCCCACATAGTTCTGAAACAACCAAGATAATAGGAAAGACAGGCTCCAGTCAGAGACAGGGCAGGTAGCACTAAGGTGATCCAGATGGCGAAAGGCAAGCACAAGAACATAAGCATCAGCAACCCAGGGTACTTGACATCATAAGAACTTAGTTCTCCCACACTAGAAAGTCCTGAATTCCCCATATCACCAGGAAAGCAAGATTCAGATTTAAAACCCCTTCTAATGAGGATGATAGAGGACTTTAAGAAGGACATAAATAACACTCTCAAAGAATTTGAGGAGGACACAGGTAAACAGATAGAAGCCCTTTAAGAGGAAACACAAAAATCCCTTAAAGAATTACAAGAGAACACAACCAAACAGGTGAAGGAATTGAACAAATCCATCCAGGGCATAAAAATGGAAGTAGAAACAATAAAGAAAGCATAAAGGGAGACTACCCTGGAGATAGAAAACCTAGGAAAGAGATCAGGAGTCATAGATGCAAGCATCACCAACAGAATACAAGAGATAGAAGAGAGAATCTCAAGTGCAGAAGATACCATAGAAAATATTGACACAACTGTCAAAGAAAATGCAAAATGCAAAAAGTTCTTAACACAAAACATCCAGGAAATCCAGGACACAATGAGATGACCAAACCTAAGGATAATAGGTATAGATGAGAATGAAGATTTACAACTTAAAGGGCCAGTAAATATCTTCAACAAAATTATAAAAGAAAACTTCCCTAAAATAAGGACACATCATACCAAAACTTGTGGGACTCGATGAAACTAGTGCTAAGAGGAAAACTCATAGCTCTAAGTGCCTACAAAAAGAAACTGGAGAGAGCACACACTAACAAGTTGACAGCACACCTGAAAGCTCTAGAACAAAAAGAAGCTAATACACCCAGGAGGAGTAGACCACAGAAAATAATCAAACTCAGGGCTGAAATCAACCAAGTAGAAACAGAAAGAACTATACAAAATACCAACAAAACCAGGAGCTGATTCTTTGAGAAAATCAAAAAGATAGATAAACCCTTAGCCAGATTAACCAGAGGGCACAGAGACAGTATCCAAATTAATAAAATCAGAACTGAAAAGGGAGACATAACAACAGAAAATGAGGAAATTAAAAAAAAATTAAAAAATCATCAGATCCTACTACAAAGGCCTATACTCAACAAAACTGGAAAATCTGGATGAAATAGACAACTTTCTAGACAGATACCAGGTACCAAAGTTAAATCAGGAGCAAATAAACCATCTAAACAGTCCCATAAGCCCTAAAGAAATAGCAGCAGTCATTAAAAGTCTCCCCACCAACAAAAAGCCCGGGTCCAGATGGTTTTATTGCAGAATTCTATCAGACCTTTAAGGAAGACCTAATACCTATTCTCTTCAAACTATTCCACAAAATAGAAACATAAGGAACACTACCCAATTCTATGAAGCTTCAATCACTCTCATACCTAAACCTCACAAAGACCCAACCAAAGAAAGAGAACTTCAGACCAATCTCCCTTATGAATATTGATGCAAAACTACTCAATAAAATTCTAGCAAACCAAATCCAAGACCACATCAAAACAATCATCCATCATGATCAAGTGGACTTTATCCCAGGAATGCAGGGATGATTCAATATTTGGAAATCCATCAATGTAATCCACTATATAAACAAACTCAAAGAAAAAAAACACATAGTCATCTCACTAGATGCTGAGAAAGCATTTGAAAAATTCAACATCCCTTCATGTTAAAAATCTTGGAAAGATCAGGAATTCAAGGCCCATACCTTAACATAGTAAAAGCAATATACAGCAAACCAGTAGCCAACATCAAACTAAATGGAGAGAAACTTGAAGCAATCCCACTAAGATCAGGGACTAGACAAGGCTGCCCACTCTCTCCCTACATATCCAGTATAGTACTGGAAGTCCTAGCCAGAACAATTACACAACAAAAAGAAGTCAAAGGGATACAAATAGGAAAGGAAGAAGTCAAATTATAACTATTTGCAGATGATATGATACTATACTTAAGTGACCCCAAAACTTCCACCAGAGTACTCCTAAACCTGATTAAAAAAAAATTTTAGCAAAGTGGCTGATTTATAAAATCAACTCAAACAAATCAGTAGCCCTCCTCTACATGAAAGATAAACAGGCTGAAAAAGAAATGACACCCATCACAATAGTCACAAATAATATAAGATACCTTGATGTGAGTCTAACCAAGCAAGTGAAAGACCTGTATGACAAGAATTTCAAGTCTTTGAAGAAAGAAATCGATGATCTCAGAAGATGGAAAGATCTCCCATGCTCATGGATTGGCAGGATTAATATAGTAAAAATGACCATCTTGCCAAAAGCAATCTACAGATTCAATGCAATTGCCATCAAATTTACAATTCGATTCTTCACTGAGATAGAAAGAGCAATTCTCAAATTCATTTGGAATAACAAAAAACCCAGGATAGTGAAAACTATTCTCAACAATAAAAGAACTTCTGGAGGAATCACCATCACTGTCCTCAAGCTGTACTACAGAGCAATAGTGATAAAAATTGCATGGCATTGGTACAGAGACAGGCAGGAAGATCAATGGAATAGAAATGAAGACCCAGAAATGAACCCACACACCTATGGTCACTTGATCTTTGACAAAGGAGCTAAAACTGTCCAGTGGAAAAAAGACAGCCTTTTCAACAAATGGTGCTGGTTCAACTGGAGGACAACATGTAGAAGAATGCAAATCGAACCATTCTTATCTCTTTGTACAAAGCTCAAGTCCAAGTGGATAAAGGACCTTCAGAGAAAACCAGATACACTGAAACTAATAGAAGAGAAGGTGGGGAAGGATCTCGAATACTTGGGCACAGGGGAAAAGTTCCTGAACAGAACACCAGTGGCTTATGCTATAAAATCAAGAATTGGCAAATGGGACTTCATAAAATTGCAAAGTTTCTGTAAGGCAAAGGACACTGTCAATAGGACAAAATGGCAACCAACAGATTGGGGAAAGATCTTTACCAATTTCACATCCAATAGAGAGCTAATATCCAATATATACAAAGAACTCAAGAAATTAGACTCCAGACAACAAAATATCCCAATTAAAAAGTGGGGTATAGAGCTAAATAAAGAATTCTCAACTGGGGAAACTTGAGTGGCCAAGAAGCACCTAAAGAAATGTTCAGTATCCTTAGTCATCAGGGAAATGCAAATCAAAACAACCCTGAGATTTCACCTCACACCAGTTAGAATGGCTAAGATCAAAAACTCAGGTGATAGTAGATGCTTGAGAGGATGTGGAGAAAGAGGAACACTCCTCCATTGTTAGTGGGATTGCAAGATAATGCAATCACTTTGGAAATAGTCTGGTGGTTCCTCAGAAAATTGGACCTGACAATACCTGAGGACCCAGCTATACCACTCCTGGGCATATACCCAGAAGATGCTCCAACGTATAACAAGGACATATGCTCCACTATGTTCATAGCAGCTTTATTTATAATAGCCAGAAGCTGGAAAGAACCCAGATGTCCTTCAACTGAGGAATGAATACAAAAAATGTGGTACATTTACACAATGGAGTATTAATCAGCCGTTAAAAACAATGAATTCGAGAAATTCCTAGGTAAATGGCTGGAACTAGAAAATATCATCCTGAGTGAGGTAACCCAGTCACAAAAGAACACATACGGTATTCACTCACTGATTATTGGATATTAGCCCAGAAGCTTGAAATACCCAAGATTCAATTCACAGACCACATGAAGCTCATGAAGAAGGAAGACCAAGTGGGGGGTGCTTCAGTCCTTCTTAGAAGGAGTAACAAAATACTCAAGGGAGCAAATATGGAGACAAAGTGTAGGACAGAAACTGAAGGAGGGGCCATCTGGAGATCACTTCACCTGGGTATCCATCCCATGTGCAGTCACCAAAGGCAGATGCTGATGTGCATGCCAGGAAGTGCATGCTGACAGGAGTCTGATATAGCTGTCTCCTTAGTGGTCTGCCAGAGCCTGACATATCCAGAGGCAGATGCTCACAGCTAACCATTGATCTGATCAAGTGGTTCCCAATGGAGGAGTTAGAGGGAAGACTGAAGTAGCTGAAAGGGTTTGTGGCTCCATGAGGAGAGCAACAATACCAACCAACCAGAGCTCCCAGGGTCTAAACCACCAGCCTGGGAGCACTTAGGGAGGGACCCATGGCTCCAGCTGTATATATAAGGGAGGATGGCCCTGTTGGGCATAGGTGGGAGAGGAGATCCTTCATCCCATGAAAGCTGGACACCGTGTGTGTGTGGGGAATTCGAGGGTGGGGGTGTGGGAGTGGGGGCTAGGTTGGGGGCACATCCTCTTAGAAGCAGGAGAAGTGGGGATGGGATAGGGGGTTCCTCGTCGGGTAAATAAAATATCCAATAAAAAAAGAAAAATAGACTTGGTGGTAATCCTCCATTAATCATGTCAATGCTAAATTAATAAAGAAACCATTAAAAAGAGAGGGCACATGCCATATCCCTGGAAAAAGTTTATAGAAACTAAAACATCTCAAAAAGGATATAAATATCCATTTAATTAAATTGCTTTTGAAGCTTCAAGTTTTATTTTTATTTTTAGAAAATTTTATTTCATTGTTTATGTGTATGAGTATTTTTACTTTATGTTTGTCTGTGCACCATGTGTGTACAGTGTCTCCAGAGATGTGAAAGGGGCATCAGATTCTCTGGAACTGGAGTTAGGTAAGAGTTATGAGCTACCATGTGCATGCTGGGACTCAAACCTGGGTCCTCTCTGAGGGGAATTTTTTGCTTTTCATTACTGAGCCATCTCACCAGCTACCACATTTTATTATTCTTAATTAATAATGTTATAGAGTTCATATTGTATTATCATAATAATTGCTAGTCTAGTTATAGTTAAGGTACCATCTAAATAGTTTGTTTTTCTGTTTTTACAGGATTGTGGTTGGTGGTGGAGAGCCTTTTTGACCAGCAGTTTTACATCTGTTTATATTTTTATATATGCACTTCACTACTTTTTTACCAAACTTCAAGTCACTAGCATTGGAAGTACCTTTATGTACTTTGGGTATGCATTTATCCTAGTGCTAGCTTTCTTCCTCTTTACAGGTAAGTGACAGCAGAATTATGTAGTATATTTTAGCTTCTCTAAAGTGTCTTAGAGACAGTTGAAATCTAATAAATGTCAACTAACTATTAGAGGAAAGGATAGGGAAAACAGTCACCATGCTCATTCATATGTTTTTGGCATCAAAGATTGTGAAGCCTGGGAACTGGATGTACCTTATGTACTTTGCTGCAATATTTTTCCTGTGGAACCTTTTAATCATCAGGAATGTGTTCCAAAAGACAAAGTAGGTTAAATGTAATCAACTTTGAATAGTCTCTAGATATAAAAATTAAGAGATTTAAATAACTTTTGAATTATTAAAATTAAATCAGTTATTTGATCATATGCAATTATATGTCAAGGACAAGATATACTTGTAAAGATTAGTAAAATGATCATTAATATTTTGGTTAAATGTAGTGGAAATTTTTTTTTTTTTGCTTAGTGCCTGAATCAGATGAAAAAAGTTTTTTTTTAAAGAAATAGCTTAGTTGAAGGTATAATGAAGTTGGAGAGGCATTAGACCTTCTGAACACAAAAGAGTTAATGTTTTAGCTTGTTTCACCACGAAGTTTGAGTTTTCATAGCTCAGATCATATCATTTGTATAAGGCAGATTGGAGAATTTATTTTCTCAGAGTTAGCATTTAGGTTCAGCAAAAATATAAAATGAAAAATGGAAGCTGGGAAAGTACATCGGTGTCTAAAGAGTTTGCTATACAATTATGAGGCCTGAGTACAGATCTTAATCCTTAGTCCTTAGTCACGGCAGGAAGCATGGTGGCATGTATGGATGTATGGTGCTGGAGAAGTATCAGAGCTTTACATCCTGATCCACAGGTGTACACACACACACACACACACACACACACACATACACACACACACACACACACACACACACACACACACACACACACACACACACACGGCTTGGCATGGGCTTTTGAAACCTCAAAGCCCACCCCTTGGTGAAATACTTCTTCCAACAAGGACATACCACCATACCACCTAATCCTTCTAATCCTTTCCAACAGTTCCACTTCTGTTTGCCAAGAACAAGCCTCAGCTTGGAGAAGATTTCTGAGAGAAGGGATATTTGAGAGTGGCTAAATAAATAATGCAATGTCAAATCCTGGGTTCTCACTGGCAGCCTATCTTCTGCTCAAGACAGCTTTCCAGATTGCTCTGCTTGAGACAGTTTTCCAAGCAGTTCTTTCTTCCTATTCTAAAAATTCTCTGGATAGCTTATCTCTTGCACATCAAAAGCCCAGTTTTTCATTTTATATAACAATTCAGTCCTTACCCCTTCAGTTCCCTTTTGATTATCTCATGAATCGGTATCCCATGACACAGCCTTTTGATTCTTAGGAGACAGCAAGCACATTTTTTTTTAACATTGGTAAACAATTCAGAGATCTGCCTGCTTCTGTCAAGCATAGACAATAAGCTAGATGGATGGGACACCACCCTGAAATTACTGTTTTTACCATGCCTAGGCCTAACCTTGCTCTGTCTTAGGCCAACCCTGAATTCAGGAATTTACCTGCCTCTGTTAGCATAAATGGAAAACTTAGCTGGGTGAGATTTTATCATGATCACTACTCCCCAAATCTGTTTATCTCCTTCCTTAGTATCTTTCTCATAAGTTGTCACATAGTGCAGCTACTTCTGTTCCTTTAGATCTGTGAAGTTCCTTATACAATTCATATTGCATCCTTATATTTTACATAGTTAAGAAATTATATATTTTGGGGCTAGAAAGATGGCTCAGTGGTTAAGAACACTGACTGTTCTTTTAGAGGTCCTGAGTTCAATTCCCAGAAACCACATGGTGGCTCACAACCTTCTGTAATGGGATCTGATGCCGTCTTCTGGTGTGTCTGAAGACAGAGACTGTGTACTCACATATATAAAATAAATTAAAATAAAAAAGAAATTATGTATTTTCAAACTCATGTTTTTAGAGCTCTTCTTTACAGCCTTAATGGCTGTCCTAAAGGTCCCAGCATTTACCATTTTGCTAAAGAAATAGACAAACCCTCAACTCCTGAACTCTTGCTGTTTCTAATTATCGTGGAATCATTAATGTTAACAGGGAGCATATTCCTTGAGAGAGGAATGTGAAAATATGTACATTATTATACAAACATTCTTATGCCCACAGCAGGCATCAACACTTGTGGAGGTCCATGCCTGCTGTCTTTGTTCTAGAGGCAGGAACCATGTCATTCCACTCCTACCAAGGCCATGCCAGACTTGGCACCCAGCTGATGAAGCATTTAAATATATGTACTTATGTGTAAATGTAACTATTATTCTCCAGTAGTAATTGTTGTTTCCAAGGCTTACTGCCTCAGTCTGCTAACCTAAGCCTAGTCCTGGAAGCTTCTAGCTTCTGTACAATTTTATCTATGCATAAAATATTTTCAGCCTCCAAGACTTAATGTAGAATTAGCTCACTCCTTCCTAGTTCTTTCTACTCTCTGGCTGGCTGATTCAATTCAGCTTTTCTGGTTCAAACTCATCTCCAATCTGTTGGATTCAAACTGGCTTCTCTAGGCTTCTCCTGAATTGTTCTGGTTGTCCTCATACTAACTTTGTCAATGTGTTCTAATTATCTGGCTCCTTCTTACTCATTTTCTGACTTGACCTGTGTCTAGCTTGTTCTCTTTCTCTAAAACCTGTCTCTGTACAACTGTCCCTGTAAAATTATCTCTTTTCCTCTCTCTATAACCACTGAGCCATCTTTCCAGCCCCAAGATATATAATTTCTTAACTATGTAAAATATAAGGATGCAATATGAATTGTATTAGGAACTTCACAAATCTAAAGGAACAGAAGTACTGCTCCTTAAGTAGCTTCACTTTCCTCTCTCTTCTCATAAGAATTGTGCATAGCCTATTCTGTCAAATCTTTCTCTGATTCATCATTTTGTCTGCCACTCAATTAGACATTTCATTCAAACATGAGTGTTTCCTTCTACAAACTAACATTACCTTAATTGTTTTGGATTAAAGGTATGTACTAAGGGCATGCCTACAATCTAGTCAGAGGGAGTAAAGGTGTGGGCTTTGGGCTGGGCCACACAACTAGAAACAGAACTGTTTTCAATAAATAACGCAATTGCTGGGGTTCACAATCTGATCAAATATCCTGCAGCAACTATTTGGCCATTCTTATTCACTCTATCACAACACACATTGTTGTGTACATTGCACACAGAGATACACACACACACACACACACACACAGAGTCTTTCAGAAAAAAGTAAATCTTATATGAGAAACTGGGCATCTTTATAGATCTTTTACAAATATACCTAAAATTGGTTTACTTCTGATAGAGTGCTGGAATCATCTCCTTAGTAAAGATTCTGTGGGGCATCTATCATCACTTAGCTACCAGCATTTCTAGTTACAATGGAAGACCAGAGCATTTTTATCATTATGTTCTGACTCAATTCTGCATGTTATTTTCTTTTTCTTTTTTCTGAACTATGCAAATAGGGCTAAGGAGTGGAGCTCAGTGGCAGAGCACTTGACTAGCATGTTCAAGATCAACTCTGGTTTTAGTTCTCAGCAGTACAAGAAAAAACATTATGTATATAAATCATAAATATACCTGTGATGTGTTATCACAAATTGAATCAAAACATCTTTGTAATTAGTACCCACAAAGATCAGCAATACCTACCTGATCATCAGCCCTGAAACTGCAGCTGGGCCTCCTTCTGCTCACTTTTTACAAATATAACTACTACCCTGACTTTTAATAGCAGAGATCCATTTGTGTTAAATTTGAATATAGAAGTATGTATGTACATACAGAATAAACCATTTTATGTCTGTTTTTTTAGCAGATGCTTTCTTTCTCTCATTATTGCTTGTGAGAGTGATCATTACCAATACCTGTACATGGAGTCTAAATTCCTCATACAATTTGTTTTGTATCATTACACCCCACCCCATGAGTTATCTATTTATGTAGTGAACAGTTAGGTACATACGAGTTTCCACATATTCAAGTGGCACCAGTCTAAGACCCCAAGGAATAACTGAAACTATATATAATACTGAACAATATATACTATGTAGGTATACACACACACACTGTGTTTTCTTATACCCACAGATCTGTAATAATTTACAAATCTTGCACAGTAAGGCTTAACAGTACTTGATAATAAAATAGAAAATTTAAAGCAATTTACAGTAATATTGTGTGATTATTACATCTCACTTTCTCCCTAAATATCTTTTTTACTATATTCTTTCTTTTTCATGATGATGTGAAATGATATAGTGCCTACCTGTTGAAGTGGTGTAAATTATGTGGCCATTTTGATATGGCCTTTTATGCAAGGGTTACTTGAACAGAAACATTGTGTTTTGATACTTATTTTGAAAACTGAGACACCTACTAAGTGGTAAAAAAAAGTAGGTAGTATACATAGTAGAGTGGGCAAAGGCATAGATTAACCCAGACAGAACTGGAAAAAGGATGCAAGATTTCATCATGCTATTCAGAATGGCACACAATTTCCAACTTATGAATCATTTATTTTTTGAAATTTGCTACTCAGTATTTTTGGACTATTTGTGATTCATACCTAGCTTTTTATGTGTGTTCAGATCAAACTTAAATTCTTATATTTAGATAACTAAAAAAAATGAAAACAAAACAGCAAGCCCCAGATAAGAAGCATTTACCAGACAAAAGACAATCACTTCTGGCTTTTTTGTTTTCCTTTCATTAACAAGTACTTTAAATCAAGTTGCCTTTTCCTGAGAACCATATTACAAGAGTTGTTGTTTTTTTCCCTCTAAAATAGATGTAGTCGTCAGTGGTTATATTGTTTGATGCATCTCCCTCCCCATTCTACTACCTTTATTCTTTGTTCTCTTTTAGTCACAGTATGCTCAATAGTGACTTCCAGCGATAAACAGGGTTCTCTCTATTTAAAGATTTTGTTTATTTCATATGTGCAGGTATTGT